TATGCTGTGTAATATGTGCACATAAAAATTTAATGTGCACATGTGCACATTGTGCACATGAATTTTACACACTGCTCCGGATACTGATGAAAATTGTGAAATTTTATTGATTTTTGCCAAAAACAATGAAAGGAGGACGGGAATACCTTTACCTTTTGATAATGTTTCTTTGAATATAAGTAATAAACCAGGTATAACCCTTGGAATGGTACCTGTATCAAGCGCTGATTTTATTTATGATTACATCTTACAATATCCAAATGTTACAATATTTAGAATTGAATTCACTACAGTAGAAGGTCCTCCAAAAAATTATCGTTATCAAATTTGGCTTAATAGTACTTTAATGACGAATAATTCTGATGTTTTTAGCGAACAAGTTTTAGCTTTTCAACGTGAAATCAATGAAGCTATAGTGTCTTATGCATCAGGAAAATCAGCAACAAGTCCAGCATCTGCAATATTTAATATCAATTTAAAAGATTGGCCAATGGTTTCTCAAACACAACTTGGTGATAAAATTATTTCACAATACGGGGCAACGTTCTTTTTTTGTGCAAATATGATCATTTTTATTTCAGTTCTTAATAGAATTGTAACTGAAAAAGAAGCAAAATTAAAGGATAGTTTAGTCATGATGGGATTAAAAGTTGAAGTGTATTGGTTAAGTTGTTTCATCTCTAATACGTGGCTTATGATCATTTGCTCGTTAATAATTTGTTTAGGTGGTCTTACATTTGGATTCTCCGCTTTCAAGAATTCAAATTTTTTCATTTTTTTTATAACTTTCCTACTTTTTGGTTTGGCAATGATTGCGTTCGGATTCTTTATCACGACATTCTGTCGTCATTCTCAAGTCGCAGTTTTAGTTGATATCTCCCTATTTATCACGGGGTTGCTTTTTGAATTTTCTGCATTCTCCTACGAATTCAGATATAGTTGGTAGAATGATGGAGCGAATAAAGTCATTCAGCTCGTATTAATATTTGTTCCATTTTTCAATTTCAGAAAAATTTTCTTGGATATTACAAAATTATCTTTGGGAAATCTTAAGTGGAAAAATTTATATGAAAAAGTTGATGATAAATTCTTACCAAGCTATAACAATCTTAAACCTGACGTATCAGCTCCGATTCAATCTTGGTACTTGTTATTAATGAATATCGCATTTTACGCTATTCTCACTTGGTATTTTGATAAAGTAATTCCTGATGAATATGGTGGTAATAGAAAAAGTCCTTTATTCTTTTTAACGCCAAGTTATTATGGAATTAAATTGAGTAGAAATTTTGATTTGCAAGGGTGGTTAAATCGTAATAAAAACATTCAGGGGTTGAAGTTGATAGTGAGGAGGATGAAGATGTCGCAAATGAGCGTAATTTAGCCTTTAATCCCGAGCATGATGCAGCTTTACGTATATGTAATTTAAGAAAAGTTTATAAAAAATCAGTTGCTGTCAAGGATTTATGCTTAACTTTAAAAGAATCAAATTGTTTGGTACTTCTTGGACAAAACGGTGCCGGTAAAAGTACAACGATCAACATCATCTCTGGCGCCGCAAGGGCCACTTCGGGTGATGCACTTCTTTATGGATGTAGTGTTAAAGATGAAATTGGTAAAATTCGTACGATGATGGGAGTTTGTCCTCAACACGATATTTTATTCAATGATTTAACTGCAAGGGAACATATTGAATTATATGCTGGTATCAAAAATATTCCTGCCGAAGAAATTCAAAAATTGGTCGATGAACGTTTAGCAAGTGTGAGGCTTGCAAAGGTGGCCGATAAATTAGCTGGTGGATTTAGCGGTAGTATGAAACGTCGTTTAAGCACGATCATTGCTACAATTGGTGATCCCAAGATTCTCTTACCCACAACTGGTAAGTTTTAGGGTAGATTGTTTTCTTTCTTAAGTCGTTTGATTAATTTAATTAATTAATCTAAAAAAAAAAAAAATAAAGGTATGGACCCCGTACATCGTCGTCACGTATGGAGTTTTATTGAAAATTTCAAACGTGGACGTGTGATTATTCTCACGACCCATTCTATGGAGGAAGCGGACGTTCTCGGTGATCACATTTGCGTTATGGCTCATGGGAGCCTCCGCGCGCATGGAAATCCGATAAGACTTAAGAGAAAATTTGGTAGTGGTTACAGGGTATCCTTGGTAACGAGAATTGAAGATATCGCGAGATTAAAACGATTGATGAAAAAGAGAATTCCCGAAGCTATCTTAGAAGATGATTCGGCTGGATCATTATTATATGAATTACCAAATTCCGCCTTACCTAAATTACCTACTTTGATTAATTGGTTTGAAGAAAATGAGGAAAAAAGTTATGGTGAACCCGACATGAAATTGCTTAAAGCTTGGGGAATTAGTCAAAAGTCTTTAGAAGAAGTTTTCTTGAGATTGTAAGTGCTTTTATATTTATCTAATTTTTTTTTTTTAAAAAAAAAGGATTCGTGAAAACAAGAAAGTTGTGTAATGTATATGATATTTGAAAATTTTTCCTTTTACTCTTTTAAATTATACATTTAATGTTGCTATTATTGTCATCTACCAATTTCCTTTATTGTTCTGCTAATTTCGTATTTTTTGTTATAATAGTTTCTCTATAATTTATAATTAAATGTTCTTTGTATTTTTTCAATAAGTCTTTATTTAATTTCAATTATAAATCAATACAAATCGCTGAATTTGTACGAGGCTGATTATCTTCGTTATGTCTGAACTACGATATTGTCTTCAGAAAGTTCAAAGTATTTCTAGCGAAAACGTTATAAATATTCGTTAAACTTTACAAGAAACTTTGTACTGCTAAATTATTATTTTCGGTCAATATAAATTTATCGGCAATGGACTTAATCCTTATTTGTTCTAAAAGAAAAACAGAAAAATGACAATCAGAAATGAGTATGGACAAGTCATTTATTAATTAATAATACTGTTTGGTGTTTCTTTCTGGATGCGATTTCCTATATGTTAATATTAGAAACGAAAAGTCCGAAAATGGCATTAACTGATTGGGATGGATTTCAATTACATATTTTACATCCTGGTAGTATGCTTAGGGAAGTACGAATCAATATGCTTTTATAATTAAACAATAAGTAAGTGCGTCAAATGAAATCATCGCAAATGTCGCGGCAGTGTCAAAAATTAAACAATTTTATTTATTTATTTAACATACTACATTATGCAGTATATATCAAAAGATTTGCTGTAGATCGTCAATATTATATCATTGATATGTAAATAAATAACTACTATCATGAGATCCTTATATATTTATCCTGATCCCAATTTCCACAGAAAATTAAAATTATTCGTGGTAGTAAATTCACATGAAAAATTATAATGATTACCTCATATTTACTTCATTTTTTTTTATTAAAAAAAGAATTTAAAGCTGAAGCATAAATAAGTTTCTTTTTCCCAAAAGAAAAAAAACAAAAAAAAAGTATCAAAGATGACAATAGAATCGATTTGTATCCTTGAAGCGGATCGACCAACAGGTGTTGCAACGATTAAAGCAATATTCGAAACAGGCTCAGAGAAATCAAGCCAAAAAGCTCGTGTGACCGCTGGTGTTTCACCTAATTCTTCAGAAGAAGTTCGTGAAGAATTAAATAAAATTGGAGCCAAAGTATTCGTTATTGATGATCCAAATAATGTTACGTTTAATGATGTTGCAAAACTTCAAATTATTTTGTCTCCCGAAAGATTGGATGCTGCTCAACTTTACATCAATTCTGCTGTGAAACATCGAGTTCCATTCGTCTTGTTACAGTCCGTGATTAATGCCGATGAGAGAGATGATTATTTTGGTAAAAAATTTGGAGAAATTGAAAATCAACTTAAGGAATATGCTGTCAAAGAGTGTCATCCTGTTGAAGGAGGACCTGAAGTTCAAAGAGAAGCTCACATCCATCGCCATTGGTAAATGAACAATTCAATAATGTACAAATTTTTTTTTTCCTTTTGATAAATGAACCCAATTATTTTTTATGAAATCGGAAGGTCAATCTTGAGAATTGGATTTTATGATCATTATTTGCTGTCGTTCAAAGATTGTATCAGGAAAGGTGTCTTGGATTTGCCTATCGGATCTGGTGAGGTAAATTGCTCATCACATCGAAAAATTTTGATTTCTTTTGCTTTTCCTGATTTTCTTTTAAATGAATTACTATTTTTTTTGGTTTTTTAAAAAAAAAAAGTTTGCACCTGTGTCAGTTGAGGATGTTGGTAAAGCCTCAGCACATATTCTCGACAAATCCGAGAATTTTTACAATAAAACAAACACAATCACGGGTTCAGAATTATTTGACGGAAACAAATTGGCTGAAAGATTAACTCAAACTCTTCATCACAATTTATCCTATAAACCGTCGGAGGATATAGAACATATTAAAGATGATCATATTAAGAAATATATTCAATCTCCTCTTGAATCTGAAGCAACGTTTCATTTGATTTCATTAATTAAAGAGGATAAATTGAAATTTGTTAGTCCTAATTTTATTGAAATTGAAAAATTCAAACAGAAAACTGTAGAGCAATTCTTTTTGGAACATAAGGAGGAATTTCTTGGTAAACAAGAATAATGAAAAAAAATTTTATTAATTTTTCTGTTTGAAAATTCGTTGTTATCTTTAGAACAATCGCGCTATAACGAATGAATAAAAAATATTTGTACGTCTTCTGCAAAATTTAATTCATAAACGCTGATCCTTTTACAATATCTCCTTGTGCAAACCTTTCAAATGTGATCAAATAAAATAAGTCGGTAAAGATCAATAATATTATTTTTTCTTATTATTATAATGATTTATATATAAAGTAAGATTTATATCAAATATTATCAAATATTTTAAAAAAAATTTAGATTTACTTATTAAAAAAAAAAAAAAATTCATATATATAAAATTATTCAAATTTTATGTATTTTTAAAATTGATATATAAATTATAAATTAAAAAAAAAAAAAAAAATAAGATTTCAAAAATTTAATATTTTAATAAAATTAAAAAAAAAAAAAATATTAAAAAAGGTTTTTTATTAATAATAAATTTTTGGTTTAATAATTGAGATTAATTTAATAATTAGTATAATTAATACATTATAATAATTAATATAAAAATTAGTACAAGTATATATACAAATATTATTTTAAATAATCATATTATTTGAATTTTTTTTAAATATTAAACATATATATTATAATTAGTGTTAAGAATTTATATATAAAGAATTAATAATAAATTTTATATTTATGAATTATTTTTAGATATTTATTTAACTAAATTATTATGAATTATAATTTTATTTTAATAACTGATCATTTAAAATAATAAAATAATGTTATAAATTTATTTTTTTTAATAGAAAAATTATAAGAAAAATAAAATCTTTTTTAATTAAAATTAATAAAAATAAATTTAATCAAAATTTTAAATTTATAAAATCTGATTTCTTTAGTAATTATTTTAAAAGATATATGAATTATAAATATGTTTCATATAAAAACATTTTTTATTCTACTCATAAATATTTATCAATTTTCTTTTTTTGTCTCTTTGTTATCCTTAAATGTTCACATGGTAATTTCGGCCAAGTTACATAATGTTGGCCAAAAATTCGTGATGATCCAGTCATCAAACCGATAGAAATTCAAGTCAAAAATTTCGGGAACTGCGCCGAAGTAAATCTGTGGATTTAAGTGGAATCCAATGAATTCTTGTCACAATAAAGTACGTATTAAAAGTGATGTAACATTGTAAAAATTACCAATATATAAGCAATTGAAGAATGGAATGGTCATGTAGTATCATAGATCTGAATAGGAACTATGAAGAACGGGCAATGAGTTTTGAGGATGATCCGAAATTTTGTTGCGCATTTCGCGATTACGAGACACGTGCTGAAGATCACGATTTTCTCGAAGCATATTCTTTAAATTTCGTTTGATTTCACGATTAAGGTTAGATTGCTCGGAATAAGCAAGCAGATTTTTTTTACTGGCATTCCAATTTTGGATATTCAGAAATGATGAATTTCCGTTTTGATCAATTTTATGATAACGTAATTTCTCCCTATGATATCCATGATATCGACACATGTAAATCTGTAAATCAGCGACAATTCTTGTAACTGCGGTTAATTCTTCCGTATTACTAAATCACTAGTGATATTTATATTTCTTAATTATCAGTTTTTTCTATCGGTTCGGTTTTTTCTTTTCAAGCCGAAACCAGATGACCTTTAATAAAGAATTTTATAACGCGTCTTTAATAGGTTCTTTATTATTATAATTGAATTTAAATTATAACATCACAATATTCAAAGAAATACATTCATAAAAGTATTTATAAATTCTTTTATGGAATACAAATATTTAAATTTATCACCTTTATTCTAATATCAAATATAAAATGATTGTCAACTAAACAAACGCTTAGGGTAGGATAATTAAATCGGTTCACTTCATCCTATGAATACAAGAGTATCTAATTTACTTACATACAGAATAACCTTCCCTTATTGAATTGTATCAAACTCGTATTTACCCAGATTTAAACATATTCTCTTGCCAATATCTATATAAACATATCTACTTACGTTTGTAAATTACAAAATTGTAACGTTTAAATATAAAGCCTACCCTACTCTATTTATTATATAAATTAATGTTCAAAAAGCTCCCTATTTAACTTAAAAAAAAGAATTTCTTTGCTTTTAAATTATAAAATCATTGAGTCTGTTTCATTAGATTTTGCGTACAAAGATCTTTCGTAAAGCTGAAGAGGAATTGGACACTTCCAATAAATAGCACCTCCATTCTTTGATCCAATGGAACAGCTTTTAGGTCGACATGTACATACTGGTACACTTTCTTCGGTATCAACACGCATAACATCGATGCCACCTGTTAACACTGCAACTCGTGAAAAATTGGCATATACAAGATTTGCAGCAAACTATAATTTTTAAGGAAATTATTATCGATTATTCATTGAATTATTTTTTTTAAAAAAAAAATAAAAAAATATATATAACTTAATAATAATTATCACTAACCTGTGGTCCTGAATCCCCTCTCTTAGCCAAAACTACATGATATTTCTTATTTTCTTGTCTAAGTGTTAGTGCAAGTTGTTCTAAATGTGCCGGATTCATATTTATTGATGATGGGAAATGTCCTCTTGAAAATCTAGAAGAGCATAATTACAATAAATAAATAACATATACATCATATATATACTAATAAATACTTGCATACTCTAGTTCACTTCTTGTGTCGATAACCAATACATGATTCTTCAATTTTACTAAATCCTTAAGTGAAATTCTTGGAGTTAATTCTTCCTTCTTGGTATCAATTGAGATGGGTACTTCCCACCATCGTTGAGGATTATGATCCTAATTATAAAACAATAGAATATAAATCTATCTTTTTGTTTTAGAAAAAAAAAAAGAGATCCATTAATGACAATAAACTTACAGGATCCTGAATTCCATTATGTGATGCACCAGGTGTTACAAAAGGTTCATGAACACGATAAATCACTGAAGGTGGTGTTACTTTACACATTGAAAGTGCTGATTGGATGCACTTTTCAATATCAACGTCAGGAAATGATTCGGCAAAAGCAAGACAATCATTAAATTCGGACTTTATAAGTAAATCACGAAGCTGTTGTAGGATAGAGATACCAGTAAATAATGGTAGCGAAGGTGGTCCAACAAGAATTTTATCCCATAAATGATATGTTTTATCCAATGGGAAAACATCTATTCATTGAAAATTGTATATAATCGTAAAAAATTATGTAAATAAAACAGAGTAGCTAGTTAAACACGCAACTTACGAGTAAATAATGTCAAGAACCATGGAATTGCGTATAGATCAGGTTGATACCCTATTTTGTTAAGATGACTGGAAAGTTCTGGATCATGAAATGACAAAAGATGTTTAAAAACCGCAAGATACTCTGCAATGACAGATGAATTATCAAACAAGAAAACATCTTGAAGAAATTTTGGAATAAACGTATGTAAGCAACTAAATGCAAGAGCTTCGTCATTAAAATTAAGTGTTAGAAAAGGAGCGCAAAGAGAGTCCAACCCTATTGTAAATTTGAAAATAAATAATCGTGTTAAATGAAAGGTTAATCCTTGTTGTAATTAAAATCTTTGTAACATTTACCTTGCCAGTAAACTAATTTATTGTTCGCGTTCGCCACTATAAAACATTTCAAAAGCCTTCGAAGCTTTTCATGACCAATGGGAGACGAAAGTAGCTGATTATATTGATGACACCTCGGAACATCTGTCCTCAATAATATTTAATCCAATCAATGTCCGTTAGATTTAATTATAAAAAATTAATTCCCAAATCTAGATGAAAAGTTGCAAACTAGTGTATTACCAACATCAATCTGAGGTAAACAAAATAATCGTTAATAAAATAAATACAGTGATTTTTTATTTTTAAAAAAAAAAAGTTTAATAATATTAAACCATATGACAAACCTGCCGATCCGTCGTAGTTTCCTTCTCTGACTCCTTATCATAAGAATCGTATAAGGCTTGATAATCGCCATAAACTCCTAAAATTGCAGCCCAAATTTTTCCACGTAAAAAAGGTGGTATATCAACTTTTGCATGATGAATAATTTCATCTCTCGACGCTGGATATTGCCTAAGTAGCTCACTAAATAAGGCAACCCTCTGAAACTGATACCCGACGTCTTTTTCTCGTATTAATAACGGCAATTTGACGTTATTTGTTGATGGTGTGGTCCCATTTGTCGATGATGATGACGCCTTATGGTTATTTGGATCAGGGAACAGGTACTTTCCAAGAATACCAACCTTTGTGCTTGAATTCTCATCGTCAGACATTTCGTCGACCAAAAAGTTCATATCATCCTCATCAACAAGCATAAAATAGTCAGTATCCCATTCAAATGTTTCTCTATTAGGACCAGTAGCTACCTCAAGCCTTTGTCGAAGTTCCTTCAAAGATAAAGTGTAAATGGTATCAGAAAATAGAAAGGCGGTATCTTTTGTTGTGCCTTCTTCTTTTCCATCTTGTACTTTTACAGTCCTTGGAATTCGTTCGATTGGTGGCGTACTTAGTAGATAACCTCTTTTGGCCAATTCCGATTCCACATCACCTCCGGCAAGTTTCCAAAAGTAATAGATCTGAGATAATGGTATTCCGTAGAGGACATCCTTGTTGGGTTGTTCATCTATAGGAACAAACAAATCTTCTTCATCAAAATCAATTATCTGTGATTGTAAAAATGGTTTTTTCCACCAATATTTATAGTTGTCGCTGAGACCATGTCCAGAAAAGAATGGATGCGACAACAACTGCTCTGGAGAACACCTATTTGAAACATTCACTTTCAAACATGCACAAATGAATTTTCGAAAATCCGAATCCGCAATATCATCATCAGCAGAACCATTTAGAAATTCCAAAATCGGTTCATTTATACCCAATTGATAAGTAAGAACCTTGTTCCAAACTTCATCATCATCAGTTTCCCCATCCTCATGTACGAAGGATTGAAGCATCCATAATGAAGAAAATAATTTTTCAATGTCTTTATCATTTTCTTTCCAGAAAGTTGACCCTGTAAAAATTTCGGCCAAGATTACACCAAGCGACCACACATCCACCTATAATGAATAATATTTTAGAAATTATAAGATAAATAAATAAATCTCTTAACGTTGATTATCTTCGTACCTTTCCGGTGACCTCTGGCATATCAGCTTGGCGATAAATTGCTTCAGGTGGAAGATAATGCGGATAACTTTTGCCCATTACATCAAAAAAGTCTTAATTAATCTGTCCCTCATACAATCAAATACGCTATCTATTCACTTACCCAATTGGGAAATCTACGTCGGCTCCTCCGTTGGTCATATAAAATAAACCATAGTCCGCCAATTTAACTTTACCCTAGAAAGCCGATAAAATTTTTTGACAGTAAGTCCATTTAATGACGGGCATTTTATTTGATAATAGATTCTAATTAACCTTTCACAGATCGATTGTTTGTCATATTTGAATATCACATGAATCATCTTGGAAAATTGTACCAGCGTGGTGAAAAAGGCAACGTGTCGGGGTAAAGAATTCATGAATTTCACCTTCTGTTTGAAGGAAGATTTGAATTATTTTTTTTAATTTATATAATACTTTATCTTTTTTTATTTTTTATTTATTACAAAAGGTTAGGAACTAGAATGCTGCGTGAATGGGCCTTTCAAATTTTAAAGGCACTTACATATCTAAATCAAAACGGCATAACGCATCATAATTTGAACCCTGATAACATTCTATTGGATGCTGAAGTATAATTTTTTACTAGTTTTATTATCTCTCATTTCATAATAATTCTGGCCTAATTCA